TTTGATAGTTAGAAGAAAATTGTTAAATATGTTCGCGAACAAGCTCGATAAGCACTAAACGAATGAACATGAACCGAACATGAACACTCATTAATTTAAATGAACCAAACATGAACACAAACAATAAAGCTCAAACAAACATGAACCAAACTTGAACAAGGTGATATTAAATGAACACAAACATGAACACTCACATACTCGGCTCGGTTCGTTTGCAGCTTAAAGGTCAATAATTAAAAATATATTTTGTTTATTAGTTTGTTCTTTGACCTATTGTTGACATTGTTTCAAGTATGTGTATGTCTGAGTGAGATTTTGTGATTTGACCCTTATGAATGGATTGCACGTTAAAGGTCAAAATAAGGCTTTGTTTGAAATAGTTTTCTTATTATTTTTTTAAAAGTAATTTTTAAGTACAAAATTTTTTTAGTCATAAATTTCTGTATTAAAAAATTATCTTAAAAAGCAATAAAACTTAAATCATTTTTGCATGTCTTTTAGTTTTCAAGATTCCTCCTAATCCGAGATTTTAGACATCAAAGTCTAGAAAACTTTTGGACAATGCCTCTGATTCAAACAAAATAACAAAATATCCTCAGTAAACAGGGGCAGATCCAGGGTCTTTTTTTAGGGTGGGCAGAAAAAATTTTTTTTTGTAGGGGATGGACAAAGATGAATAGGATTGATAAAATTGGGGCAAAAAATTTTTTTGAGAGGGGGCAAAATACCCAAAATACTCAAAATATACCAAAAAAACACCATCTAAATGCAACGATTTAAAAAATGATGATGAAACCAAGAAGATGAAAACTGTGCGAATTATTGAGAATATTGTCATTATTGAGTCTCAAGCCCAACATGAAAAAAAGTAAAGAAGAAGCAACGATTTAAAAAATGATGATGAAACCAAGAAGATGAAAACTGTGCGAATTATTGAGAATATTGTCATTATTGAGTCTCAAGCCCAACATGAAAAAAATAGAGGTTTGCATTAGAGATTCAATAACGAGCATAAAACTAGTCGAATAATCATGGCATGAATGCTTTAATACATTGTGTTAATGCTATGGTGTAATTTAGAAGCAGTGTATTATATGACCTAAATACAACAAAAAGTGTACAGATGCAGCTGCATTGACGCCTGGATGCAGTGTTAAATAAGCAAATATTCTCATATCATAGACGGATGCGGGCAAAGAAGCTAGTACATAAACTAAAATTATGATAGAAACTTGGAATATAAATTCTATTACAGACAAATTATTGAAATTAATAAATATCATGATTCATAAAAAGATTAATATTATATAAATTCAAGAAACTAAATGAATTGGAGATAAGGCTAAGAAGATTGATAGTTTATAATTCAAACTAAGATATTCGGAAAAGAGTTGTACTAAAAATATAGGTGTAATTATAAATAAGAGTTT